AAGGCCCTCAACACGCATGACTCCGTAAAACTGGAATATTCCAACTCAATTTAGAGAGAACACACCAGAAATGCTTCCATAAAATGGAAACAGTAAGAAAAACCTTTATCTCTGGCATTTCCCAGCAATGCTGTCTCACCAGAAGACCCTCTGGAATGATGAAGGAACCTCTCCAAGCTGAGCTGACCCTCACCAAGCCTGGCCTGTCCAGCCTGGGCTCCAGCACGGCTCCTTTGGGCCATGAACTTCCAGAACAAACACTAAACCCATGCAGGGCAGCAGGAGGGTGAGCTCTGAACGAGCCTCAGGGTCTGCCTGGAGCTCAGGGTGTAACACAGGAGTATTTGGTGACCGCAGCAGGCAGGCTGCAGACAGAAATCCCCGGAAGATCCTCCTGGAAATGACAGGAAGGCACTTCCAGCTGCGAGGGCGGTGGGAAGAGGAAGGGAAAAGCCTACAAAGAAATGGAAGTTTTTATACAGGCATCGGGGACCAACTACAAAGAAGAATCTTTTTTTCTGCTCATTTGTTTACAATCGTAAGCCCGGGATAAGAGAACTGGGGACAGCACTGAGATCCCCTTTGAAATGGCTGGTAATTATTTCTGTATCAACAGGAAAAACTGACTAATGACACCAGGAAGGATGATAACTGGACAAAATATTTTCAGTAAAAATAAAAATGAAGAAGCCTGAGAAGCCACTCAGGGAAAACCAAACCAAAACAAATTCAACTCCATTTTGAGGCTTCATCAGAACCTTCCATTGGAGAAGGATGAAAAAGCCTTATTTTGGCAGCAGAAAACATGACCCCTTAGCACCAATCTCTACCCTACAGGCAGTGCAGGTATCTTTATCCGTATCTCTAAAGCAGCAATTCCAAATCAAAGACTGTATTTTCATAATTAAAATAACCAAAGATGCTTATGGCAACTCTTCAGTTACAATTCCAAACAAAAAAAGCCAATTACATCTGTTTGAGCAAGTAGATTGTCCCTTTAATTAAAAATAAGTATAAAAAGAAGCATAAAATTGATCACAAAAAGATAAAGTTCCATCATTTACCTACTATTTTCCTAGCATGTAATCACAGGTGCTTGGGAGCCAGCAGACTTCACTACATCACAGATTTACAGCATCCCAGTATGGAGAATGCAAAAGAGGAGATCAGTAAATACATTTCAGTAGCACAAAACCTGTTCCCCTTCTGCTGCAGCAAGAACACCACTCTGGAGAATTCCACTGGGGAGTAAGAACTGGAAACCAGACAGCAATGCAAAAAATATGGAAATATATATATATATTTGCCTCTGTGGGAAATGGAAAGCAGCTTGAGAGATCATCAAGGAGATGAAGCCTCTCATTCCAAGCTCTGCTGCAGGAAGAACAAGGGATGGTGAGAAGGGAAGTGAGTTGCTGTAACAGTTCACTGGGGTTCAGAAGGGTCGAGCATTCCTGGCACTGGAGATAAAAGATGAAAAAGCAACACTCATTTAAAGGATATGGCTGAAAATACTCCTGATCATTCTCCAAGGACAGGAACCATGTGCTACCCACAAGCTGGAAAGACTCCTTTGAGAAAGGACTCAAATTGGCAGAGTGAATTCGAAGCATTTTCAGGTGCAAGGTGCCTTGATCAACACCAAAAAATTGTTCAGGCTTTTAGAACCAAGTGAGGAGGGACTCAAGCATTGCTCCTCACAAGTGGAGCTCACAAGCACTGGCAGGAGCACTGGGAAAGCTCCAGGCTCATTTATTTCATGTAAAATCTCCAGGCAGAGCACACAATGACATTTCTCAGCATGACACCCTCATGCATTTCCAGAGTCTGGAGATGATTCATATTTAATGTCTTTATGGTGCTGCACCAGGCAAAATCCTCCTTTTCCTGTCCCCTGAACAAAGACACTGGAATTCAAGTAGCAAGCACAGAGAATGGTTTCCAGGGGTAAAAACAGATCTGTTCCCTCCCTTCTGTTTCCCAGAACTACAGAATTAGAAGCTTGAGATAGCAGCTCAAAATCCCAGAGTTCTATGAAATCACACTTGTCTGATATTCAGAGTGGGTAATGCCTCATATGTCTGGATTAACGAATAGGAGATACACATTTATTAACAAATTAATGAAAATCCAATCAGCAACATTCCATTTTCATACTCTTACAACTGTTCTGTAAATCATGAAATAAATTTCCAAATGGAAGAAGAACTAGAAGTCTGTCACTGTGAGGTCATCACTGCTAAAACCAGCCTATCCTGCTCCTCCAAAAAAACCAGGAGTTAACTGCAGCAGTATTTCCAGCCTACAATATCATTTATATGGGACAAAACCCCACAGCAAGGTGACAAAAAACTCTTGAGTAAGCTGAATTTCAGCCAGATATTGCCTTACTTTGTGTTTCAGGAAGCAGAGAACAAGCTGTGTGAACTACTAGAGGAGTAGGGAAAAGCTCTGAACACTTTGGATCAATCCCTGTCACGGAATCCTCTCATTATCCAGAGTAATCAGATCTGCAGGGGAATTCTACATGTTGTGGCTAACTGTTCAAATTAGCCCTTCCTTTTAAAAACAAGAGTAAATGAGATTACATACAGCCTTATGCAGACTGAACTATCATTTCCCTCTCATTCCTAAAAAAGGAGGTTTTAAGGCAAGTAAGACCAGACCCAAAAAAAAAAAAAAAATAGAAAGACTGACACAAAAAAGGGAAAAATTTCAGATACTGAACAAGAGGTTGCCAGTCCTTCCTCCTTACCCTGCTCCTGTACGGCATCAGCTCCCCAAAAATCTGCCTGTAGTCTGCTATTAAACATTTGATGCATGCAAATGATAGTCAGTCTTAATCTTCTGAAATGTAAGTATAAAATGTATGTGTGGTTCCCTGTATAAGCACCTGGTTTGCACAAAGCCCAGGATAATTTTCCTGCAGAGAAAGCCCAGCCAGACCTCTCATTAATACTCAATGCAGGGTAAGAGACTGAAAGTGTGGTGGAATTCTCAAAAACGCTGCAGGAATCCCAAAACAATTAAAGAAAATAGTAAACCACCCTTTTCTCTACCAAGGGGGCACAGCTACAGAAAGAACACAGAACGTGCCATGTTCAAACCAGCAATGGAAACAAAATGGGTCTTTGCTCCTCTAGGAGCAAATGTCTTGTTGGGTGGGGCAGTTCAAACAGAATTTTTAACAACTGTCCCTCCAGGCCCTTGTCCCAAGCTCCTCTCCAGGTCTCCTGGAGCCCCTTTGGGCACTGGAAGAGCTCTAAGGTCACCCTGGACCCTTCCCTTCTCCACAGCGAACAATCCCAGCTCTCAACTTGCTATCAGCTGAGTCTTTGTGACCTCTGTGGTCTCTGACATTGAACAGTGTTGATATGTGAATGATCAGGTCTTAACAAGAAGCCTCAATATTCATTTTTTAAAACTTTTCATTCCAGAAACTTGTGCTGCAGTTTAACCCAAACACACCCAATGAATGCATCTCAGTTTTTTTTAAGGATCTGGACTGGCTGTTGGCAGATGCCAAATACCTGGAGGCAACAGACTTTTAGTTCCATTCAAGTTTAAGTCTTTTCTGTTAGGTACAGAATTAATTAGCAGTTCAGGCCTGTCTGTGGATTTAGAGTGTAGCAGGGTTTGTGGGCTGGTTTTGTTCAGTTGTTTTGAGGATACAAGTTTCTACAAGATTTGGTCGCTGCTGTCTATGAACCAAACCCATTATTCAGCACCTTGACTTTAGAAACAGATGCCCAAATTATTTTTTTAGTAAGTGATATAAAGACATCAAATCCTTTTGATTTAATAAAAGCATCAAATTCTTTCAATGACCAAGTTCCACTGTGCACAGTTAAATCCACAGGTTCTCAGGAGAGGTCTGGCAAAACATGAATGGTGAGCAGTGCTGTAAAGTTTCTCTGACAAACCTACAACCACTTCAGGTTCTGATCAGGATTCCAGGACCATGCAAATCTGGAAACGTTCTCACACAAACATTTAATGCATATGAACTTGGAGAGAGAGAAACAGGAATAATGCAGCTACCTGAATCCTCACCCTATAGCCATTTTTTTCTAAAACAAAAATTTAACGCCAATTAGGAAAGTGGAACATGACCTTGTAAAAAATATAGGGATCAAATTGTGAAAAAAAAACCTTATCCACTGAAGGGAGACACATCTATAATGGGCAAAATTATCTTTTTTCCCCATTGCACAGATATGCACTAATATATACAAGTTACTGACAAAAATCCCAGATGAAAGCCAGCACTGAGGCTTATCTCCCAAATCAAAGCTTTGCCCCTAGATCCTCACTTTTTAATGTTTAATGAAGATCAGTGATAGTCTTTAAAGTCTAGAACATGGCTGGGAATAAGAAAAGGATGCAGATTAAAAGATCATGCCTCTTTTTTATACGTTGTCAAGTGAAAAAATAACTACACTGGTCATTTAGAGTTCCAGCTGATATACATTATATCCTCATGCATCTGAGGATCTTTTACCACTCCACACCAGAGATGTGTGTGAAAGGAGTTTAAATTCTACACTTCCTCAGGGCCCAATGGAAAACATGACCTTTTCTTCCTCCTCACATTTTGGTAAAAGCTTCATGGCCCAAAATGTCATCTCCCATTCCATTTTTATCCCAACTAGGATCCACTGGCTTAGTCAGTCAGCATTCTGCCTTAGCTCCAAACAGGGATTTTATTCCCTTGGAAGACAGAGTGCATTCTAGGAGTTAATTGCCTGTGTGGCATAACAGAACAGAGGAACAGCTAATTTATTGCTTATGGAGATGCATGTATGAAAAACAGCAACTCAACATAAAATACCTGACGCTTTTGATCGCCCAGCTGAACTACACCACCTACGTTCTCCTAGAATGAACTCTGCTACTTCTCCACAAGCTCTTTTTCACACTCAGAACTTTGCCAGCACTGTTCATGTTGGCCAGAACGTGACAAACCTTAAGAAAACAGCAGAATAAAGGAGAGTCCTTACCAGCAGCAACTACAGCTGGAGGCGGCGAACCGGCCTCACCACCGCTCGTTTGGCTCATGGATGCTATGGATGTTTCTCTGGAAGGTGGTAACTGCAGCTCCTTTGGGAGAAGGTCATAGACAGATTCTGTGGAACACAAAGAACTTGATCAAAATGTCACCCGTGCCCTACACAAGGAAAGAAATAATGTTTTTGCCCAAAAGATATGAACTATAACCCAACCCTTTCAGAACCGTTGGGCAAAGTCACAGTAAGTGCTTGGAAATAACAGCATGGACTAAAGTTATTTCAGAAAACAAACAAACATTAAGATGCACATTCTGAAGACTGAAACAAAGGACACAAACTTGTTCAAACAAAGAAATAATTCATAAACTTCCAGAGAAACTGTTCTCATCCAGAACGAAGGGCCGAGGGCAGCACATCACGTGAGAATCTGAGACAAACCTGTTTTCAGAATTCCAACTGTGCAGCTGATTTCCTAAGGAAAAAAAGCTTCATTTGGCACCATCACCCTAACAACATCCCATGGAGCCTTAGAATCACAGAGTGGATTTGGGGGGGAAGGGACCTTAAAGCCCATCCAGTGCCACCCCTGCCATGGCAGGGACCCCTTCTGCTGTCCCAGGTGCTCCCAGCCCTGTCCCTGGGATCCAGGGCATCCACAGCTCCTCTGGGCACCCTGTGCCAGGGCCTCAGCACTCTCACAGCCAGGAATTCCTAATTCCCAATAAACATCTAGCCCTGATCTGTGGCAGTGGGAGCCATTCCCTGTGTCCTGTCCCTCCATGCCTTGTCCCAGTCCCTCCCCAGCTCTCCTGGAGCCCCTTTAGGTGCTGGAAGGGCCTCCAAGATCTCCCCTGGAGCCTTTTCCTCTCCAGGTGAGCTCCCCCAGCTGTCCCAGCCTGGCTCCAGAGCCAAGGGGCTCCAGCCCTGGGATCAGTGACCTCCTCAGGGCCTGCTCCAGCAGCTCCAGGTCATCCCTGTGCTGTATTAACCCCGTGGGTTTGATCTCTCTTCCTCCTTGTGTGTCACCCAGGAGACCTCCTAAGGCTCCCTCCTAAGAGCTTGCTCCATCCTCACCTATTTCCAGCTCTCAAGTTAACTCCAGCCTGCTGAACACCTGCAGCCTTAGGTGTGCTCACCAGGGGCTTCAGGACAGAGGCTGGGTGTTGTATTTTAGACCACATTTCAAGTACCTTGGTCTTCATCAATGAAGCATGAAATTAAAGATTTGCTCTTAATGGTCTTGTGATATTTGGGAATGTGCTTCAATTCTAATGCTGCCTTTTCCTTCCCTCCCTCTTTATCATATTGTTGGAATTACTCACAAAGATTAGAATTGTGCTGCTTGTGGATTACTGCAAAAATCATGTGCTCCCTGAGAAAAAATTATCCTGTGGGAGTCTGAGATGTAAGCATAACTCTAAAGCAAACGGCTTCACAGAATCTTCGCCACATTGGAGTCAAAAATAAATTTCTTAAACAAAAAAATCCCCAAGAATCAGCCCAAGGAGACAAGCTCTCGATTACCCAAGAACTTGGGGTTTGGAAAGGAGCTTTTGTAGTCAACTCTGAATATACTGTGAGTCATGACAGATGACGATGACAATTCACTCCTCTCAGAGGATTTCTTGAGGAGAAAGGAATGGAGGTGTGTGTATACACCCAACTTACACATGAAATAGAAGGTCTCTGTAGTTACCTGCACACACACTGTTGCAGCCCCTCATTTTGGAGCCCCTCACTGAACATTTTGAGCAGCAGCAGCCCTGCATTTTCCCAGCCTGTGATTCTCCTGTCCTGCTACAGGTAGAAGTGCCAGTGCCAGCTGGAGTAAAGGCTGGTGCTCACTTACAAGGGCTTGTACAAACTGCTGCACTCATCTCTGAGGAAAAGCAAATGCAGCAAATGCTCCTTGTAGTACAACAGGAGCAGAAGTGAGAACAAGTGTTACCTTCCAATCCCTTCCAAACCATCCTGTGAATCCATGAACTCATGGCACAAGGTGATGGACCAATCCAAGCTTTCAGAAGGAAAACAACTCTCCTGGCTTTTCTTGCACCAGATGCAGCTTCACAGTCTAAAACACAGCATTACTGAACTGCAGCTCAACACTGTCCAGAGGAACCCCAAGTGCCTGGGTACCTTTAAGAACCCTTGCTGCCACAAACCTACTCCACACACATCAGACTTCAAATGAAACTTTGTGTTTTCACCTAAACACAGGCCAATGTTTATATATGCTGAACTATAAATAGCATTAAAGCAAAAACTGACAAATTCCAGAAACATGAGAGTTGTTGCAAGGAAACCCATTCTTCCCCAGAGGATACAGCTCCCCCTCACTGTCCCAAGAGCTGAAGCTTCTGCCCAGCCCCTCTCCATCACCAGTTTTACACCTGTGTGCACTCACCAGCACTGAGAACATCACATTTCCTGCTAGAATTTTACGTTGATTCATGCAGAAAACACCCACTGAAGGGAAAGGCTGCTGCAGAAATGCAGTATTACATTTGGAGGCTAAAATAGCATTTCAGCATCATTACGTGTTTCTACATAATTAGCGAGAAAAAATGTGTAGACAGAATTCCTGCTTCCAGCAGCCAGCACTGAATCAGGGAGGAAGTTTAAGCTGTCTGACAGCACTAAGTGTCCTGCAATTTATTGCTGATTTCAATTCCTTTGATGAATACACTGGTTGATCCCAAGTTTCTAGGGTTTTTTTCCTGGAAGTAGCTCCATTTGTACCCAACATTTAAACACATTTTCTCTCTCCCTACAGGAAGCAAGGAACACGTGTTTCAGGATTAGTGTTATTATGAAATATAAACAAGATAACACACAAACCAGATAACCAAACACTAGTGAACAGCCAGAAGTCCCACACGCTCATTTCCCGACACAAATCTTCACCTGTTAATCAGTTATTAGACATTATCTACAGTAAACTTCCAAATCTCTTATCTTGCCTCAAAATATCTCGCCTAGACAAGCCCAGCTTCCCAAATTCTCCTCCCAAGACCAAGGACACACAGGGACAGGCAGATTTACAAAAAGTATTTTAAGTGTCAAATTTCTTCAACTGCCCTTTATCCGATTATCCTGCCTTTATAATCTCTCATCTGAGATCAGCTGCTTGGAACTTTGATCTTCCTGCCAGTTGTACTGAGAGTCCAGAAAATTCTATTTCACATGGTTATATGGACCAGAACCACAGCAAACATGGGATCAGGATCCAACAACGCAGCACTTGGAATCGGGAAAGAGAAGATTTTTGTTGTGTGCTACTTGAACCTGCACACAACATTCTGAATTTATATATCAATAAAAAATAATAAAAAAATTTAGGAAGGAATTTTTCACTGGCAGGGTGGGCAGGCCCTGGCACAGGTGCCCAGAGCAGCTGCGGCTGCCCCTGGATCCTGGCAATGCCCAAGGCGAGGCTGGACAGGGCTTGGAGCTCCCTGGGACAGTGGAAGGTGTCCCTGCCATGGCAGGGGTGGCACTGGATGGGTTTAAGGTCCCTTTCAACCAAAAGCATTCCAGGATTCTCTGGAATTGGGTCATTTCGAGTTAAAACAACTGCACAAAAGGTGTCTGTGCAGGGCCAAACACATGACCACCAGTCCACACAAAATACATCCCTGGGTCAACACAGACCTGGATCAGCCCCAGCAGCTGCTGACAGCATCCCTGTCTTCGAAGGGGAGAGGAAAGAGGAAAGATTCAGGAAAAATAATGCTGAGAAGGTACAAAAAGCAGCATGTGAAACTGATGTGGTGATGCTGCTGCAGGAGTGCAAAAGGCTGGTGGTTTGTGATGGCAAACCAAATTCTACAAAGTCCTTCATTTCCTGTTTTACTCACTTCCCCTCAGTGCACACACACAGCTGTCCTTTTCTAGGAATGATTTTGGATTTCTGCACACAACCTAACCAGGCTGAGTTACAGACCTGGGCAACAGCAAAGTCTGAGTGCTGGGCCATCCCTGCCAGCAGCAAATCCCTCTGGAATTCCCAGCCCATCCTCATCGTCACAGCACCAAGGGACCTTTCAGAAACACAGCACACCTTGTGACCTGCAACATCACAGTCCTCCTCACTCACCAGCATGCTGTGACTCCATTTAAACTTTATTCTTTTATTTAATTAAGCAATTAAGCTTACAGGAGCAAAGGGAACACAACACAACTGCTTCCTGTGGGGGAATGCTGAGACAACTCCAAGATTCCCTGAGGAGCTTGGACATGTCCCATGCAAAGCCCTGCTTTTCCCAAAGAGTAGCTATTCCCTTCTTTTGGGCCATGAATCCTCCATGACTTTCTGGCTGCACCTACACAGACACTTCAGCTGCACAGAATAAAAACTGTGATTTCCAGAAATTTAGTGCCCTGTTATCTTGTGCTGTCCTATTACTGGCTCAGGGTGTCACAGAACCTCTCTGCCCTCAAACTTCTGTGACACAAATTGAACTGAGATCCCTCTGGCTGGCTGACCAAATTGTGCTACCTGTAACTCAGCACCTGGTGATGCTGGGAGCATAGAGGCAAGGAAAAGAGCAGAGAATACCCAATTCCAATGTTTCAAACAACAGCAGCTCATTCACGAGGAATGCAGACATCCTCACTTTGCCAGGACCCCCAAACGCTTTAAACATTATGGAACTTTCTCTACATATTGAAAAGATACCCCTAAGCTTTGCTGCTCCATGTCAAAAGCTAAGCCATGTTACCTGGAACTGCCACAGCTGGGAGCCAAGCCACAAACCTGACAGAGGAGTTTGCTCATAACTAAAGCAGAGGGCCCTGGCTGCAGCTCCAGCTCCACCATCACTCCTCCAGGCCGTTCCCAGGCCCAGCCTCAAGCAGGCTGCTGGAATTCTCCTGCAGAGAGAGATCTGTCCCACACTGACACCTGCTCCTGGGAGATCTGTCCCGCACTGACACCTGCTCCTGGGAGATCTGTCCCACACTGACACCTGCTCCTGGGAGATCTGTCCCGCACTGTCTGTCCCACACTGACACCTGCTCCTGGGAGATCTGTCCCACACTGTCTGTCCCACACTGACACCTGCTCCTGGGAGATCTGTCCCACACTGACACCTGCTCCTGGGAGATCTGTCCCA